TGATACTTAGTATTGATCACATGATGGCTAATGAGAAAGGACAATATGGGCAACATCAGGAAAGCTGGTGTTAAATATCATTGACAAGCTTTTAGGTATTATTGATTGTGGACATCAATTTGTTGAAGGTAAACATCACCATTGGGCGATGGCGGGCCTCACTTTGTGTGATAATAGTTATTCGTTTAGAGTGATAACGAGCATCTACGTTGGTTGATGGTCAGTGTTTGCTTTAGGCAATAACTCTTTAGCCGATAACATGCAAAAAAATTTGACAATGATAGTTACCTTTGTTAAAGATATTGAGTAGTGATGATCAAAAAAGATGATAAACCTTAGTCAATGGTCGGACATTAGCATTGGTTGATGATGAAAGACAATGGGAGTCCGTATTGGGCAAAGACGTTGTCAGTCTTATTCAATAATGAGCAATGGTGAGCGTCAACATTCGACGACGATGGGGGGTAGCATTGCTTGAAAACGACAATTGCATTGAGTCATGATTGAAGTTGAAATTGAGCCACTATGATCGCTCACATTGGTTGACAATCATGATCAGATGTTAATGGTCAAAGCATTAGAATCCTCTTCATTAAATCCCTCTCTCAGATCAATTTTTGAATGTGCAGAATTAGCAGTCATTTATATATTTAGATAGGGGGCATGTTAGTCACTTCAATAATAAAGTAAAATAATTTATTAAATAATTGGAGCCAACATCTTGTTCATTCAATATTTTTTAGCATCTTATGCATTAATGGTATCAAAATTAAGCAATATTATGCTCATGAAGTTTTCCTCATCAAGGTCATTTTGATTATGACCACGCAAAGCATAAGTTTTTTATCAAAGTTTCTAAGAGAATTGATTTGGAAATTTTGATATCAACTTTATTGATCGTCCAATCTTACCTTCTATAACAAGGACTCGGTTAGACCACCTCACATTGATGACCTCAAATGTTCTTCATTAATTGTCATTCAACACATGCTAAATATCCATATTTGATATTTGTCATTCATTGATGCCAAATTCCTACCTGCCTAGTTCTAGATCTCTATTCTATGAGAGGAAATGACTGAGTAGACTACTAATTATAGTCTTACACCAACCATACTTAATAGACCGCAATTGATGTCTATTAATGTACAACAATACTTATCCACAAACATCTATCTTTTAGATTTTCATTCGCCACTCTAATAAAGAGAACGAGATGTCAAACATTGATCATCTCCTAACATCTGAGGCTCCGAATCATTTAGCATATACCAACACTTGATGCATTCATTCATCAATTTTCTTTAAAGCAAACCTTTCAAATCCTCGATGTTTATCCTATAAAAATGAAAACTATATATACAACCAACCATCAAATGACATTCAACATTCTTATTTGACCTTCGTTTGACATATGCTAATATTTGCTAAGTACCAATATTTAATGCCCATTTTACAACCACCTAACCTACCCTCGTATAAAGAGTGACTGAGATGACCATGCACCATTGCCTAGTGATAACACAAGCAACTTAAAACTCACTTTTATCATGAAAGATATGATTCACAAATCATATGTACTACATTATAGCTTCTCCAATTACCCAAAAAATATCATCATACTAATAAAATCTTTCTTAGTTGTGTTAGTCTTTCAACAAAAAATCAAACTAGTTTATTAAATAATTGGTGGTAATATTATTTGGGCATCATATGCATTAATAATATCAAATTATGCAATATTATGCTCATAAAATTTTCCTCAACGAGATCATTCTGATAACGACCATGCAAAAATGAAAGGTTTCTTATCAAAGTGTTTTTAAGAGATTTGATTTCTAATTTTCGATACCAACTTTATTGACCGTCCAATCTTACCTTCTATAATAACGATTAAGTTAGACCACCTTACATCAATGGCCTCTAATGTTCTTCATTAATTGACACACAACACATAAAAAATATTAATATTTGATATTTGTCATTCATTGATGATAAATTCCTACCTTCCTAGTTGTAGGTCTCTATTCAATTAGAGGAAATGGCTCAATAGACTAGTAGTTAGAAATTATGTTCATTCAATATTTTTTGAGTCTAATTAATTAATGCCATCAAAATTACGAAAAATTATGCTTGTGAAATTTTCCTTATCAGGATCATTTTAATTATGACCATGCAAAAACCAAAGGTTTCTTATCAAAGCTTTGAAGAGACTTAATTTCTAATTTTTTATACCAACTTTATTGATCGTCCAATCTTAGCTTCTTCAATGAGAACTAGGTTAGATCACATGACATTGATCACCTCTAATGTTCTTCATTAATTGTCACCCAATACATACTAAATATCAATATTTGATATTTTTCATTCATTGATGCTAAATTCCTGCCTTCGTAGTTCCAAGTCTCTATTCTATGAAAGGAAATGACCGAGTAGACTACTAATTATCGTCTTACGCCAAACATACTCAGTCAGGATACCATAATTTGATGCCTACTAATGTACAACAATACTTACCCACAAACATCTATCTTTTAGATTTTAATTCTTCACTTTCATAAAGAGAACAAAATGTAAAACATTAATCATCTCGTGACATAGGGGGCTCCGAATTGTTTGGCATCTAACAACGCTTGATACCTTCACTCATCGATTTTCTTTAAAGTGCGCATTTCTCATCCTCAATTACATATCACATAAGGAGAAAAACTATGCATACAATAAACCATCAAATGACATTTAATATTCTTATTTGACCGACATTTGACATATGCTAATATTTGTTGATTACCAATATTGAATGCCCATTTCAAAATCAACTAAGCTAGCCTTTTATATATAGAGTGACTGAGGCGGCCATGCACCATTATCAAATGATAACTCAAGCATCTTAAAACTTTTACTTTTATCATGAAAGATACAAATCATATGTAATATAACTTATCTTCTCCAATTATCCAAAAAAATATCATCACGGTAATAAAAATAGGACATGCAATTGAGAAGAAATGACCGAGTAGACTAGTAGACTACTTATTATAATCTTTCACTAAACATTCTCAGTATACCATAATTTTATGCCTATTAATCTATGACAATACTTATACACAAAGATCTATCTTTTAGATTTTCGTTCACCACTTTGATAAAGAGAACGAGATGTCAAACATTAGCCATCTCCTAACATCTGAGGCTCCAAATCGTTTGTCATGTACCAACACTTGATGCCTTCATTCATCAATTTACTTTAAACCACACCTTTCAAATCCTCAATGTTTATCCTATATGTAGAAAAACTATATATACAACCAACCATCAAATGACATTCAACTTTTTATTTGATCGTCGTTTGACATATGCTAATATTTGCTATTTACCAATATTTGATGCCCATTTCACAATCACCTAGTCCACCCACTTATATAGAAAATGATTGAGGCGACCATGCACCATTATCTAGTGATAACTCAAGCATCTTAAAACTCCCTCCCTACTTTTATCATGAAAGATATGATTCACAAATCATATGTACTACATTATAGCTTCTCCAATTACCCAAACAATACCATCACACTAATAAGATCATTCTTAGTTATGTTACTTTCAATAAAAAAAAATCAAAATAGTTTATTAAATAATTGGAGTAAAACATCTTGTTCATTCAATGTTTTTTGGGCATGCATTAATGCTATCAAAATTACCCAATATTATGCTCATGAAATTTTCCTTATCAGGATCATTCTAATCATGAGCATGCAAAATTCAAAGATTTATTATCGAAGTTTTGAAGAGACTTGATTTCTAACTTTTGATACCAACTTTATTGATCGTCTAATCTTCTCTTCTTCAATGAGGACTAGGTTAGACCACCTAACATTGTTGACCTCTAATGTCCTTCATTAATTGTCACCCAACACATACTAAATATTTATATTTGATATTTGTCATTCATTAAAGCTAAATTCCTATCTTCTTAGTTCCAGGTCTCTATTCTATGAAATAAAATGTTAGAGTAGACTACGAATTATCGTCTTATGCCAAACATACTCGGTATACAATAATTTGATACCTACTAATGTACAACAATACTTATCCACAAACATCTATCTTTTAGATTTTAATTCTTCATTTTGATACAGAGAACAAAATGTAAAACATTAATCATCTCGTGAAATTTGGGGCTCTGAATTGTCTGGCATCTACCAACGCTTGATGCCTTCATTCATCGTTTTCTTTAAAGCACACATTTCTAATCCTCAATCGCATATCCTATAAATAGAAAAACTATACATACATATGCTAATATTTGTTGATTACCAATGACGGATACCCATTTCAAAATAACCTAAGCTTGCCTCTTATAGATAGAGTGACTAAGGGAGCCATGTACCATTATCTAATGATAACTCAAGCATCTTAAAACTCCTACTTTTATCATGACAGATATGATTAAAAAATCATATGTACTATAACTTATCTTCTGCAATTATCCAAATAAATATCATCGCAGTAAAAAAAACTTTCTTAGTAATCTTTGTTATTAGTTCTCATAAGAAAACCTTCTCATTTAAATTACTATCAAGTAATCTATGCGGCAAATTTTTCATTAAATACTAAGAATTGAAGCACTTTTTCTTTTGTCATAAATATTCTTACATAAAATAATAACAATAAACATTTAAATATATAGCACATAAAACATTGTTATTTACAAAAGTAAAACCAAAGTGATTTTTTAAACTATAAAACCGATGCATTTACACATGCCATTATCAAACCATTGGTAAAAATATAAGTCAGGGTTTTACAGAACTTCTATATTTTTAAGAGCATTTCCAAAATTTTAAGTTTATTTCTAAATCAAATTCTAAGACTTCTAAAACAAAAAATTTAAATCAGAACTAAATTTAATATCAGAACTGTAGAAACCAAAAATTTTTAGACAAGAACGAATAAATAAAATTTTAAAATCATAATTAAAACAAATTTTGAAACCATGATTTACACGGGCTTCCTCTCAACAAGTCTAATGACAAATCAGTCAAAACAATTTTCCATGACTTCGTGACTACCATGAATATATTCTCTATAGCCAAATGACCAGTAAAGTTCTCCTCGCCACGCGGAAGGAAAGCTAAATGGGCACTCATGTAATGCAAAAAAGAACATAAAAATACAAATTATCCACTTTTGTGACCCTATAATGTAACCTAAAAATAAATCACAACAGTTAACTATCATAATTGCTTATAATTTAGAAGGATGCCGTGTCATACCTCTTTTCTTTCGTTTTTCTGTCCTAAAACCATCACCAAAGGAGAAGTAATAAGAAAGAAGAATGTAGGCCTTAGTTGGAAAAAGAAGGCAGCCTCCAGAATGTCTTGGTTGCCACAAGGATTTTCTCTCCAGCATTTGATTCTGGTTCGCTGTCATGAACTCTAACTGTCCAACGGATAGCTAGTGCAATTCGGGCCGCCTTTTCAATGGCTTCGGATGAGTCTCTCATCACAGCTTTTCCTTCGGGGCGTAGAATTCGATCCATTTCAACCATCAGATCAACGAGGTGGCATCTGGAACAGAATTTCAGAACAAAACACTGAGTCAAATGACAATCAATTCAATTCTGTTTGGATGTTTAATGCATGGGTGATGAGCATTAGAAAAGAAAACTTATAGGTTGTTTGATAATAATTTCTTTTATTTTTGTTTTTTCTTATGGTTTGAAAACATGTTCGCTTAGTCTCTTTTTTTATATTTTTACTTTTTATTTCTAAAAACAAAGAACTTTTTATTTCTAAAAGCAAAGAAACGCTTTTTATTTTTAAAAATGCTCAAAATAACTTTTGAATGTTTTGAGTATTTTTAAAAACAATCATACTTTAATCAAATTATCAAATATGTTTTGATTCAATTCAAAACATAAAATAAAATAAAGTTATCCCAAAAGAACCCTTAATATCATCAGGGCCAGGCTACCTGCTCTTGCCGGAAGTTGGATCTCTTACTAAGGAAGTGAATCCCATGACATGGATTAGATCGTAAGTTCGAGGATATGTTGAAAAAGCCTCGCACCTAAAACATTAAATGACAATTATTATTAGAATGCATAGCTTGACATTCACAGAAAATCAAAATAACTCTAACCTAATTATAAAACAATTTTTTAATTGATTTTAGCCAAATTGATTGAGTATAGAGAGATTATTGACAAACTTTGGCTGCTTTTTACTCACGCTTATATATTGCACAGATCTCGCTGAAACATGATTTTATTGCATCATAAATGCCATGATTAATTACTATACCACATAATGGCATATGCTTGTATTGTATCAAGATTGGCTAGTTGTTAACATATTGAACTCGCCTCTCTGTTTATTTGTATTCGCAATTCTGACACTATGTAGAGAATTTTTAGAGAATCATTGAACTAAAAGCAAGTAGTCAAAGCTAGGGGATCATTTGGGATCACTTCTATTTTTGCTTTCATTTTTTTTATTTTATTATTTTTATATTTTGTTTTGAAACAAAACATGTTTGGTATGTTTGATTAGGACATGATTGTTTTTCAAAACACTCAAAATACCTAAAATTCATTTTGAATGTTTTCAAAATTTGTTTTTAGAAAGAAAAAATACAAACATTAAAAGCACATTAAACAAACATATTTTTCAAAACAAATAAAAAAATAAAAGCAAAAATAAGAAACAAATAAGCTCAAAATTATTAGTAAATTATGAGTGACAAATGTAACCGCACAATAGGTGGATTCAAGGCGTTCTTATATGAGGGAATAACGTATTTATATGTTTGGATCACCCTTGAGAAGGATTATATAATATGTGGATTGTTTATCTGGTAAATAACATGGATTTGAAATTTTATAATTACTTTGAATTATTTTGGTCTATCTAAATTTTTTTTAATGTAATTGACAGTTGACATATACTGAATTGCAGTGCCTAGCAGCTACAACAACAACAAGCCTTTATCCCATTAAGTGGGGTCGGCTACATGAATCCTTTTTTCTCCATTGTGTCCCTTATTGAGTGTCATATTTTCATTTAGTTAACATACGCAAGTATTTTGTGGTCTAACACTACCTTTTTTAGCATAAGTCGAATCTAAAGCATCTACTCTCCTAACATGATATCATCAAGCGCTCGCATTTAATGTGACCAAACCATCTAAAGACTGAGATGAGAATGCTTAGGTGGATGAGTGGCTTGTCTCTTAAAAACAAAATGCGAAACGAATGTATCTGTGCCAGGGTTGGTGTAGCTCCACTGGCAAGCAAGATTAAAGAGAGTCGTCTTTAGATGGTTTGGTCACATTAAATGCCAACATTTTGCGCCATAAAGCATTGCACCATCTTATAAATTGTTTGTTTAAGTCTAAGTGATACTTTTATATCACACAATAGGCTCGATGCATTCCTCCGCTTCAACCATCCAACTTCAATTCTAATAATACATCCCCATCTATATTACCATCACTTTGAACAATAGACCTGAGGTATCTAAAACGTTCACACCATTTAATGATTCGATCACCCATTATTACAACTGTGGCACTAGATCTACTACTACTAAACTATATTCCATGTATTCAGTTTTAGATCTTCTCAAATGAAAGCCCTTTAGACTCTAATGTAGGCCTCCATAATTTAAGTTTTTCCTAAACTCTTTCTCAAGTCTTGTCAACAAGAAGGATATTATTAGTGAAAGCAGACACCAAGATAAATCCTCCTATAAATGTCCAATAAGAGCATACAAACTAAAATAAAAAGATATGGGGTTAAAATCGATCCTTAATGTAATCCAACTGAATTAGGGAATATACTCGGTCAATCCTCCTCCTATTCGAACACAAGTAACAACTCTGATATGCATATTTTAAATGACCTGAATGTAAATCACATCAAAACCTTTTTTTCTAGAACTCTCCAAAGAACCTCTCTTGGAACCTTATCGTAACATTTTTGTAAATCTGCAAGGTCAATTGGGCAGTGTATGACACCATGGATATGTTTCATATATCTGTTGAAGGTTTCCTACCTCCCTATTTGCATAACACATACTCTTGCAGGTTTTTGGTATGCCATTTGTATGAGACCTCTCATTTCTCACATAGCATTTCCAATATAACAAGTTTTACTCTGAATAAAATAACAGCCAGATTTCCAAAAACATTGCAACGTTTAAAATGATTCAAAGTGGTAAGAACATACCAATCATGGTAGACTCCAATGAGGCCTCTGTCATAAATAATACCCAGAGTTAATGGCTTTCTAGCAGGAACAACATTCATAACCCATACAGGATCAGAGAGCAGCGCTGCTGCAAATCCTCCAAATAAAGCATTCATGTCCATAACATTGCGTATTTCTGGATTCCCTAGCTTTAAGCCCAGTGTTTTCTTGTAATAGTCAACTCTTCTAGCCCAGCGCCTCGTATCAGCTTCAAATATATCATTCCCATTCTTGATGAGTGAGAGCCTATTAGGTGGTTTTGATATTCTTTCTGGCCATTTTGGAATCGACCACAAGCTTGTTTCACCCTCAAGAAGAACTCTGCTGACACAATTCTTCAACTTCACGTACCTAAACAATTTAAAAAACTTCCAAATGTTGGTCCAATGCAGATAAACTTCATAACGCTAGAAATGGAATTAAACAACTTTCTTAATTAATATTTACCATGCATCACTCGGGTCATCAATCTCACTGCACAGATCAAGCCCAAACTCGTTTTGGTTAGGAAAACATGATGATTCAGTAGGTTTCTTCCAGATGACAGTGTTATTATCCACAGCAATAAGTTCATAACACAGAGCATGAGCCAAAGACTGGAGATCACTCCATTCTTTCTCCAAATTAGGCCATTGTACAGGTGGGCCAGATATAACTAGATATCCACCAGGTCGAAGTAGACGATCCACTTCAATAAAATAAGTTCCATCTGCAAATATAACAAACATGAACACAAGCAAGAAAAGAATGATGCTAATGAGCTGCAACCTAATAAGGTAAAAAAAAAAGACTCACTGTAAGCAGTAAAAGGGATCAAACATCGAGAACAATGGATCAAATCAAATGAGAATGCTGGAAATGGAAGCCGACGAGTGCCTAGCATAGCCACAAAAGCTGGTATTCCTCTTTCTAGTGCAAATTGTATTTGAGCTTTATGAGAGTCTCTTGGAGCAAAAGAAAGGGTAGTAACATTCTCTTTAAGAAGAAAACCACCGAAGCTCGCAACCTTCATAAACAATATAAGAGAAAAGTATCACAACAACAACAAAGCCTTAAACCCACTACGTGGGGTCGGCTACATGAATCCTTTTTCTCCATTGCGTACTATTTAGTGTCATATTTTCATTTAGTTCTAGTAAATTAAGAACATTTTTAATACAATAAGCCCAAGTCTTCCTAGGTCTACCTCTGCCTTTCTTAACACAAGTCGAATCTAAAACATCTACTCTCCTAATCTGATCATCAGATGGTCGACGTTTAATGTGACCAAACCATCGAAGACGACTTTCTCTAATTTTGTCCGTCACAGGAGCTACACCAACCCTATCACGCTATCACGAATATAATCATTTCACATTTTGTCTTTTAAGTTTAAGGCCACTCATCCACCTAATCATTCTCATCTCGACAACACTTAACATATTATTATGCTTCTCTTTTAAAGGCCAACATTCAGCACCATAGAGCATTGTAAGTTTCACCACCGTTTTATAAAATTTTCCTTTCAGTCTAAGCAGTACTTTTCTATCACGCAAAAGGCCCGAAGCATTCCTCCACTTCAACCAACCAGCTTGAATTCTACTATTAACATCCCCATCTATATCACCATCACTTTGAGCAACGGACCCAAGATATCTAAATCGTTCACACCTTCTAATAATTTGATCACCCAAAGTCACATATTTGTCACTAGAGCTATTACTACTAAAATTACATTCCATGTATTCAGTTTTAGTTCTACTTAAATCAAGGCCTTTTGACTCCAATGTAGACCTCCATAATTCAAGTTTTTCCAGGGCTTTTTCTCTCGTTTTATCCACGAGAAGGATATCATCAGCAAAAAGCATACACCAAGGTACATC